GAGCTAATAATTTTTTGTGTCGAAACTTCCACACAAACCTAGGCGCACTTGAAGGCTGAATTAAACTTTACTGGGTCTGACGCGGGCTAGGAACATTCTTCTGAAATTTCAGCTTCCTAGCTACTGTGCTTCCCGAGTTATTAATTTAGGCGCCAAAGCTTTCACACATGAGACTTGGGAATAGCGGGCGCTGAATTTGAATTTGCAAGATCACACGCGGGAAGGAATTTCAGTCCTGTAACTGTTCTGGGCCCTGTGTTGAAACCCCAGATAAAGCGCACTCGGAACACACATGCACACACATACACACACACACACACACACACACAAAGGATCTCGACAACATGCATTTTACATAACTATTGCAGCATGAAATCCACAGTTAATGTTAAGTTCAATTATAACGCCCTTCCCCCCTCTCCGCTCCCCTAGGCATTTCAGTTTGTTGCACATGAAGGCACACAATAGTCCAGGTAACAGATAACACTTTGGCAAGGCCACCCACAGAGAGGGCTGTACACGCACTTCTCGGAATGCCGTTTGCAGCAATTCATCAGCAAAAGAATCAAAGACTCATAGAAAACAATGATTTTTCCCACTTGCGAAATGTAAGCTTAAAATTATGCTCTAATTATCATTGTTGCAGTTATCACTATTGTTACTACCACAATTTATCATCACTAGAACTGCAAAAACTATCACTACTATCAACTTTACCACTGTTCTTATCAACACAATTGTTGATATTAGTGTCACTGATATTATTATCAATATTATAAAAAAAATCATAAAATCTATAGTAATGCAAAATTTTAAAATTACGCATAAAATTCATTTTTTTCATTTTTAGTCATACTTTCATACGAACGTTTCTACAGTGTGAGAGCGTAAATTACACTAAAAAGCGGCACAGAAATTACAATAATATACCTCAATGGAGAAATCATTGTGCTGCAGATAGGTGATAATAACAAGCCAGTATCCTTGGAACAACAACGGCACATAGTAGTATTTGACGAATGTGTACAAACTGTAATTACAAACTGCAAATGCCATCTGAAATTGTCTGTGTTCAAACAAATAATAAGACAGTTAGACAAAACCAGTGCATAAATTCCCAGGATGAAGCAATTTTTTTACAACAAACATCCATATCTATCGACAACCTTGTCAATGGGTTTTGCTATTTGCAAACGATTGGGCTACTCCCGAGTGTCTCCGCCTTTCATGCGCAGTGAATACAGGAAGGATTTGAGTTATGACTTTTGAACCGTATTATTCAATTTTTCAATTATACTGTCAGACTGGTACTGAATTGGCAAGTTCCAGTAGCATCAAGTTCCCGCACTTGAGCTCATAATGTGCACAACTGGCTAGACGCGGAGGAACAAATAGTGAATAATTTTTATTGAAAAACTAACCCAAGCACATGCGAGGCAAGCCAGTCCGCTGATGACACATTGCACTCGTTCACGGTTGTTATGAAAAAGTTTGCTGTATGGCCAAAAATGACTACCGTCCGGTAAACCAACCACTGTATAAATAGGACTCCATCTACAAAATGGTTTTTTTTACAGTACCATTAAAAACTGATTGAACATTTACCAAAGAAATAATGTAAGACTTTTGCTCACCTTTTCCCTACTGCTCTGTTTTTCATTTACCTCTATCATTCTTGCCTTTCTTCCCTCGATTCTTTCCGTGCGATTCACATTTT